AAAAAAAAAAAAAAAAAGTAGCCATTGGAAAGGGGAGTGGAGAGGAAAAAGCAGTTAAAAGTTCTAGGTTTTCCTGTGTTGTTAACAAGACTAAACAAAATGTATGCTTTGAGATAAAACAGAACCCAGTGCCTCTATCTTGTGAACACAACCCGGTGTAGGGAAAGCAAGCAGGCTCTGAGGGGCTAGAACTCCTGCCTGGATTTCTGCCTTCCAGCTATGTGGCCTCGGGCCAGCTCCCTGGCCTCTCTGAGCCTCAGCTATAACTGCAGATTTGCTCTGAGAATCAGAGCGTACGCAAAGCCCCGGCCCGGGGTGGGCCTTCAACAACCAGTGGGTGCTGCTATTATTCTGTGAACAATCTGCACCCATTTCAGCTAAATCCTTGGGAATCACATTATAGCAGCACAGGGGAAGAATCTGTTTCTTTGTTTAATGAGAGAACAGAAAGAGTGGGTGGAGAAGTCAGGAGTCAGTCTGCCACTGCACTCTGGGGTCAAATGGGCTGTTTACCAACATGATTTGCTTTCACCCTCCTGAGAGTGGCACTGTGGAAAAAGTCCTTCCCGAGATCACAGATGCCCAAGAGGCAATGTGGTTTCCATGCTATTCCAGCGTGGTCTGGCCAAGCTGTCCCCCATCCCCCCACGCAAAAGGCAGCTTCCCCGCGCAGCCCCCACAGCAGGAGAGAGGGAGAAGCATTAAAGAAGCGGGGGTGCCTGTCACACTTCTCTGTAACCCCTGACGTGATGTGAAATTCTACAAGGTAGACCCTTTGAAATGCAAAATCTTCCAGAGTCCTTCAAATGTGTTTTTATTTTCTCGGGTTCCTAAGGCTGCTTTCAGATCCACCCATCAGCATTTCCCCTCTCAATCAACCCACATTTAAAAAAAAAAAAAAAAAAGAAAGAAAAGGAAAGAAAAACCCAAGGACGTCTCTCAAGTATCTCCAATCACCGCGAGGGGAAGAAAAGAGCATCTTGTCGTCCTTGCATCACTCCAAGACACCCCGAAGCCAAGTTTCCTCTGCAAGATTTCCTCCCATCACTCCGTCACTCAGGATCTTAGAGAACTGTCCTAGATAAGAATCTGAGTTCCCCCCAACCCAAGTTCGGTAAGACAGGCACCAACAAAACCACAACCTGAAATACATGAACCCCAAATCTTGCCCCCAAACCCTGTGCACAGGAGGTTTGGATGAAGCATCAAAGAAGTTACCTTAAAACAAAGTTGTTTGGCAAAGAAAAATACTTCACTGCAAGAACCACCCTAGGGAACGGTAAATTGCTTTTGAATATGGACTTTTCAGTGGCGCAGTCATTAATCATGTTAATGTCAACTTCGCTACAACAAAAATTTTCTAAGCAAGTCTCAGGGCACATCAGCATATCTAAGCCTCTGGGTTTGTTTCCAAAGTTCACCTCCCGGCAGGCAATGAAACTGCTGTTAATGGGGTCGGATATTACAGTGCCGTCCCCAACCTTGGGCCATAATAAAGGTGACTCAGCCATCCAAAAAGAACCCTCAAAATTAGGCAGGATACAAACAAATTATCAGAGAGTCAATGATTTTGGAAAGTGTATTCGCTGGACAAGTTTAAAGAGAAACTCTCCCTGGATGATGGGACGGACATTTCAGGAGTCGTCGAGGGAGAACAATCAGCACTCCTCCCAGCACTCAAGTCCCTGGCCAGACCCTGTTTGGTAGAGTGGAGAAGAGGGCGGCAGCCGGACGAGGCAAGGAGGAGGAGGGTCCAGCAGAGCTAAGCTTCGCCCAGCCCCACCAGCCCCGGCCATGTGCTTCGTGTTGGCAACAAACCGGTTCTTTCAAGAGAGGAGGAGTCTGACAAAAAGGACAGCTGCAGCAAAGCAGAAGCTGAGGGTGAAAACCTCTCCAAAGCCCTGAGCTTGGGATTCTCCCCTAAAGTTAAACAAAACAAACCACCCCTGGGGTTTGCAAGGACTAGTTAATCTATTAGTCTCCCCCTTGCTGGATCAATTAAAGAGAGTCCCTCCACATCTGGTTTCCATCGAAAACCGAAACGTGTATTATCAGCATATTACATAACAAATTATGCCTGCAGGTTTCTTTTATTACACATCCGAGAGGTGTGCATGGTGGCGGTAACGATGGGGGTTGTGTTGATCTGAGTATTTGCTTATTTCAGTCTTTTTACTTAAGGTCAAGAACAAAAAGTTTTCCATACAGTGCGCAATTTAACGGCAGAAAGTGACGATGCCCAGATAAAACATCAACTGAACAATCCGAAGGTGGGCCTAGAGCTCAGTCCTCAGGGCTCAGGGCATTGAGCAGTGGGTGAGAAGGGTGTGCTTTTTAAAAGAGCTCTGCAGCGTCCCCTGCTGCCAGCTCCTAATATTCAAACACAGCCTCCAGAAGGGGAGGAGAGCAGGCTGGCCCTTCCTGAGCTTCAATCAGGGGTCAGGCGCCTGCTCACTGAACCTGCTTAAAGGAACCCAAGCCCACTAGGCTTCAACAGAACGGGGGGATGGGGAGGCTAGGGGACAGTGAGGGAATCAACAAGCGGGAAGGGAAAGAGCCCAGGAAATATAACAGGGCTTCCCATAAAATGTCAAGGAAGCCTAACCACCATGACAACAACAAGGTATCATGAAGCTCGTTCCAAAAAAACTTTATGAAACTTCCAAAATGTTATGTGCAACATACCCTAAGTTGAAAAGAGAAGGGAGAAACTGATTTAAAACATTATGAACGAAGGCAGTGATGTTCTACTTTGTCCTGAGAAGACTGGAACATTCAAGTCCACTTCTGCAGCAGCGAGGTTGCTAGTTTCTATTTAAAATTGATAGTAAAATGGCTGCACATGAATCTCACCTTCTCAAAAAAAATAGGAAGTTGTTGGGCAAATATTTTTGAATTCAAATCGCCTCGTTCTCTGAAGGCACGTTTGAAGAAAAAAATACAGGCCTTCCCCAAGCCTCTCCTTAGCTAGATTCTAACCTGAAAAAGCGCCTGGAAGCTGGATCGGCACACTCCCAGGTGGCATGATGGGTGACAGCCAAGTGCAGACACAGAGTCAAGGGCTACCAATCCTGATCCAAACCTTCCCACTGAATGGGACTATCAGTTGGGACAAGTAGCTGTTTATGTAGTACACAGCCAAAGAGGAAAAAAAACCCTGTAGACCTGCGATTCAGTATCAAACTGTAACTGACACAAGTTACTCTTAAGTAGATGCATTTAAATGAAACCAAAGCCTGGCCTAATAAGGAACACTGAGTTTCACCTGGTTGGCTAACGCCATTCCTTCCCAAGTCCTCAAACCAGGTGGCATCTTTTAAACGAGTCCAGGATCTGGAGCAAGGAGGAATCTCCCTGCCAGCCGGTGGGGACTGCTGGGAACACATATGCTAGCATGTCATTTGGAAGTCTGCTAATATGTTGTAAGCAGCACAAGACGCTTGCCTGGCTTCCCAGGCCAATAAACAATGCCATTCCAACTCCTCAGCAGTCAATAGGAAACAGTCCCTTTTCTCTACCATCCAACAATTCAACAAACATTTGTTCCTGTTGAACAACCGTCAGCCTGGCTCCATCTGCACCCGCTCCTACGAGGCGAGCGCGGCGGCAAAGGCGGCGGCACAAATGCCCACCCCAGGATCCCGGACCCGGAATGCAATCCACTCCGGGGGCCACTTTCCTACCACCACCGAGTCCGGAGACTGTACCGCATGGAAGACTCGGAGTGTGGCCTATAGGAGGCAGAATCCCATTCATCAAACGCTGCAAAG